CAGGCAATAAGTCAGCTAAGGAAAGCCTTTTGTGTCTGAAAGGAGAGAGTCCATTTAAAAGAATTTCCACAATCACACTGTGGAATATAACAAAAAAGTTTGTGGATATCTAGTTGCATTATTAGCTTTTCTAAGAAACTGGATTTAATAATGTCCCTTTCATAAGGGATCCTGAGAAAATATTTGTGGCACAGCTGGATTGTATGATTAAATTCCTAAACATAGCTTCGTCACTGACAATTATTTTCACCCATCAACTATTGGATTATATGTGTTTTAATTTAAGAGTTATTGGTACAATTTAGGTCTACATAATGACTACATTCATTATAGGGAATTTGTATTTGTACATACTATATCTTGTCTCCTCTTTTTTTCTTTCCTCATTCTCATCCCCTTTTCAAACCCCCTTTCCCTCCCCATTCACAAAGCTTGGTTTTTATTTTATTCTTCTTATTTTTATTTCCCTTCCCTTCCCCTATTTCCCTTTCCCTATTGAACAGTTTCTTCCTGTTTCATAGTATCTATTGTACACTTGTGATCTTACATTTCCCATTTCTCATAGCAGAGAGATTAATGTGATATTTACACATGTGGGTCTCATTTATTTAACTAATGATTATGGCTTATATTATATAGTATGGAGTTTAATGTTGGTGATTCTCAAATATCTTGGAGTCATAAATCCCTTAGACTAAAAGAGAGAGAGAGAGAGAGAGAGAGAGAGAGAGAGAGAGAGAGAGAGAGAAAGAGAGAGAGAGACTATCTCTCCTCCAAATACACTTACTTACAAAATTTTGTATGTAATTTTCAGAAGAGTTAAGAAAATCTGAAGATTATCAGCTTGCTTCTGTTTCATGAGCTGAAAATTTTGGTCCTTATGACCATATGCTAAATTAAAACTAAATAATTTTCTTGATCTGTGATTTTTAAAATATGTACTTTCTTCTGTACTATGATTGTCACTTTTTGAAAGCATTTACAATTCTTGAAATAGCTAAAATTGTAGAGTGGAAAGATATACTTAAAATGTCTTTCTTCACTCCAAAATCAATCCCTTTGTTTTCCTGCTACTGAGTGTGACACAGAGACCTTCCCTTCCTGCTCCTCCCTGAACTGTGTTCAGTCAATCAGAGGTGGTTGGAAACTCCATCCATCTTTCTACTCATCCAACAAGCATCTAGTAAGCCACAGCTAGGTCTGTAGTGTGAACAGGTACATAAGATCTGGTTTCTGCAGCTATATAGATTAAGAACCTGTGACATGATGTCATAAATGCAAACAGGTGTTTATAAAGTGTAAAGAGTTAGAGAAAAGTTAGGGAAGTTTGCTTCCAAAGAGTTAGAGACAGTTTATGGAAGAAATAAATTGCAAGTAGGCCAATTGTTAGAAAAAGAAAGGGCATTTTAACCAAAGAAGTATCTTTAATCAAAGCAGCAACCCAGGGGGGCCTGGCTTATTTACAAAACCATAAACAGATTCACGTGGCTTGAAACGGAAGATGTGAGAGAGAGTGGGCAGAGGTGGGTTTGGAAGTATAAGACCAGACTGCAAAGGGTTTTTAGTGACTTCCTTTTGTTGGTAGTGAGGAGACAAGAAAAGTTTCAATTAAACTAATCATGGGAGTTCAATCATGTTTCAGAATGAGCATTTTTGCCTTTGATGTAGACCAAGAAGAGTAGAGGGAAAAGAATTTCAGAAAGCCATAAATTGAAATCAACCAAGTTAGATTTGTTGGTTACTGATTGAATTGTTGGGTCTAAATCTGCCAGTCACTCAAGATTTTGAATTAAGATCCTATGCCTCTGTCCAGAAAGAGTGGACATATCTGACCGATAGCAGTGGATATGTATTAATTTAGGAGCTAGGATACTCGTTTCCCCAGACCAGGCCTGGTGCCTTAGCACATGGAGCCTGAAGCTAGCATGAGAGCAGCCGTGCCGCAAAAAAATAAGGGTTTGTGATAAGTGAAGAGGTGACTGAAACCCCAACAAAACAATGCTGACTTGAGCACCTAACATGGCAGCTCGTGCTGCCTGCCTGTGACACAGACATCATCTTGCTTTGCTTAGGAGGAAATGGGCTCAGATACTTGGAGGTACTTGTCCTAGCTTCTACGCCTGATCAGCATGGAAGCTACGATTTAACCCATGTCTGTGAGACTCAAAGGAGCCCAGTAAAGAAGGGGCTACTGGGATTGAGTCAATAGAGGTCCAGCCAGAGGAAGTGTCAAGGAAGAGGTGTGAGGCCACACCTGCAAAGCCTGCATTTTGGAGACAGGGTGTCAGGCTCAGCCAGGTCCCAATGTCAGCTGGAGACCTCAGGCATGTTGTGAGTTCTAGGGTCCCAGACGAGTATACTAAGAGGTGCCATCCAGTGCCAGCCCAGGTTCAAAGTCCTGTGGTCATCAGGTTTCTGATGGCAGAGACCATACCTAGATATGTGTCCCATTGTCACTGGCAAACTACACTGTCTACCCCCTACCACCAACTACTGGTGCATTTGCTCCTGAACTCTTTGTACTCATATTTGGATTATTGACTTAGCATAGGTATATTAAACAGACTAATTTCTAAAACAGTTTGTTATTACTGAAAATCCACCAAAGTTCTATCTTGAATGCTCCTTGAGAGATAATTTCCTTCTCATCTTTTATCAATCCCAGCTTCTCATTTGATCCTTGCATAATTAAGAATTAGAAAGGAAATCTGGAACAAGGTATTGGTGTAAGTAAAGTGAAAACCAGGAGGGGTTGTCGGACACCTGTCAAATCTTAGACTCAATTTAAAAAAAAAAAAAAACTTTTTGGCATTCACTGAATCTCACTAGATCTTGCAGCATTCAGATCATAGACATTGTTGCCCAGACACAAGACTGCTCTCACCGGATAACCACACACATCCCTGTCTTCATCCCCATCATATATTTCTCTATCCTGAAGATTTAACAGAGACACAGATCCATATTAACTTTTACTCACATGGTGGCAGTGGACCACCCTGTGAGGCCCTATGCAGCTCCATGTTGTGTGTTGATCTATTACAGTGTGATCACCCCCAGAAGAACTGTACTCATCAATTCAGAGTGGTGAAGCTAGTGGTTTCCAAACTCTAGTCCATGCAGCTTTGCAGGGGCCCCAGCCATTCCCCCTCAACCCTACCTCTTCCCTCTGTTTTAACATATTGTTCAATTAGAAAGACCTCTAAACTTTGTCTTGGACTTTCTTACACCAAAACACACACACATACACACCTACATTTTTTAGAAAGTTTTGCTTTTGCTACTAATAACGAATGGAATACTGAAGTCAGCCTATGACCTTAGCAGACTCCTGCTGCTAAAATAACATATAAACTCTCCATTATGATATTTATTTCAGAGTTCAAGGAGCTTTCAACCTGTAAGATTTTTTATTACAATATTTCTGATATTAAGTTTCATTTAGTCCTCCGGAATTTTAATGTTAATAAAATGGTTCTGAGTCACCCCTGTTATGCCTGCTGAATGGTGTGAGGTATAGTCCAGCAGATAGGAGCTGCCTTTCACACTGTGTTCATGGGCTAAGGGTCTTCCTGGGGACCTTTATAAGCCCAGACTTCTAAAGAGAAAGGGACTTGCATTGCGGGAACCTGAGAAACACCTCCTGGCTAGCCTGTGTTCTCTTAGCTCGTCTATTGGTCTGGGTAAGACCTAGAGCCGTGAGGCTAGAGCTTCCCTCACTTGCATGGGATCTCATTACCAGCAGTTGGGAGGCTTTTTCTTATCAGTGAAGGACTGTAAACACTTGGGACTGGTCAAATCGATGGGTGCCATAAGAAAGGCCTTTCTCTGCTGTCTGCCCTTCAGGACTCCTCTTTTGTGTGCTGGAGCTTGGCCATGGCACATCAGGCAGCTGTGGAGGATGGAACCATGGCTGTTATGTACACAGTGGGTTATCTGAGCCTCCAAAGCCTCATCTATTCACCCCTGCTGCTCTTCCCTGTCACCTTCACAGCAAAAGAGGGGCCCACAGGACCCACTGATGGTGGGGACCAATAAGGAGGAAGTTGTGTTGGAATTCAGCCCTTAGAAATAAAAAGGCACGCAGGCCTCTGAGTGCAGTCTTAGAGAAGTATTGAGGACTTTGGTGGTGGAGGTGGAGAGGGCACAGGACCTGCAGGGAGTTTCAGCATCTCTTGAAGCATCTCAGTGTCGTGCCCCTCTGCTTTTTGCCTTTCATTCCTTTGTTCCTTGTAGTTTGATAAGTCAGAACCCATTTGTTCATTCTGACAACTGATGGATAATGTACTAAGTTCATTTGATTATTAAGGATAAGATCAATTTACACCTGGACACCAAAACACCCCCTATCTTTAGAGGATCTGTTTTAATTCATGTGCAATATGGCCTGAGAATCAAGGTTATTTTAAAGAAGATTCTAGTGGTCAAGGAAATTCCACATGGTGAAGGGACTATGGTAATGCTCATGAAAAGGACAGAACATAAGGGACATTGGATGGTGTGTGGTCCTGCAGGTGCCTGCTGTCATCAGTGCCCATAAATAGAAGGCTTTGTACTTTTCTCCTCTGAAAACAGTCACAGCTACAAGGTTAAGAGCAGAAACAATGTGAGTTGGACTGGGTGGGAGAACTACAGAGCCAAGCTCTTGAGAAAGAGGGACCAGGAAGCCGGAACAGCCCAGAGCTGTCACCAAGAAAACCTGGCTCACACAGAGCTCTTCAGGGTGGTGGCAGTGGTGCCTACCAGTGCCTGAAAGTCACTATATGAAAAGGCATTGTTTCCAAATCAGCATGAGGCTTACCTTCGGATTTTAAGAAACATCAGTGTCCTGATTTTGATTGGCTACTCCAGAAATAAGAGTTCCCACAGCTATCCCCTTGGGCTGATGTGTAGTGTTCTCCCAATACCTTCTGCTGGAATCAGTGGTTCCCATACTCGTAAAGCCTGTATCACTCCACCTGATACGCACCAGCTCTTAACTTTGCATTTGATTCCTCTAGGGGCTGGAGGCTTTTGGCTTTGGGATAATGTGCAATAATTCTGAAGGGCCTACAGATGAGATTCCAGAAGACAGTACCCTGCAGTCTCATGGAATGTTACAGAGCTGCCCAGTCTTCAGTGAGGCTGAAGCCCAGGCAACCAGGGCTGAAAAGTCAGGGCTGAGCACACCTGAAAGAGTGCACACCCTCTTTCACATCAGAAGAAATATTTTAAGAGACTTTGTGGAAGGAATTCTAATTGTGGAGCTGGAGAATGGATGCTGAATGATTTCTAAATTCTCAAATAAAGTTGCTGGGGAACCAATTAAGCCAATCTGTTAATACAATTTTACTAGAAACAAGGAAGTTCTTAAATAACCATTTTATAGTTCTCTTGATTTCTATAAATGGGAAAAGCCATAATCTTGTATCTGGAGACTGTTCTGGATATGGCATTATTGATGGATAATTCTTCATATCCAAAAAGTTTATGTAATATATTGTCAAAATTTTTGGACCATCTTTGATTCAAAATAGGAACCATCCTTATGAAGTTTTCTCTACTGGACAGACTGGCTTGACAATTAAGAAAATACAGTCTTTATTCTAGAAGCTTTAAGATATTTTCTCTGACACTCAAACCATGAATTCTTTCATTTATTTGTTTTATTTAAGAGTGACAACTCCCTTTGTGGCTTGCCTACATTTTTCCATTTGCCTCTTGTCTTATATCCTGGCAACTTCATTCCTTTGTGATTCCCTGGAGGTAACTAATGGTAGCTTAAAACTTCATTTATCATTGTGGGGGAGGCGATGCAGAATATCATGTGAGTGGTGACTGGTTGGAGGAAGCAAGTGAGCGAAAACATACAGGGATAATAGATATTTATATAAAGACCCTGCATTTTGGAGAAGTCTGAATCAGCCAAGGATTTTATAGTGTGGAATATTTCATGGTCCTTTCAAGGATGAAGGAAATTTGTTTTTAAACACGGCCTATTTTAAAGACACCCCAGAGGTGCAGACTTTTGCAACACATGCTTCACAGCCCCTCCAGATCTGAACTTTTTCCACAACATTTGCCTTCCAAAAACGATTTCAGCATTGTGGAAACAGAACGTGGAATATTTCAGAGCTGTAAGTCTTGCGGGAAATGGCCCGTCTTTGAGGTTACATAAATAAGTTTAAACTATTTCTGACATTTTATAGCTGTTTCAGGAGAGCAAACATTTGTAGTTTTGAGAAACCACGAAAAGCAGTAGTATGAAGAATCCTGTCTGAATTTCCTCTCCCTCTTTGGTGCTTTGAAAAGGTTTACACAAGGAGCCACGCTTCTCTGTGCGAGTCTTGGAGTCAGCTTCTTGTCTGAACCCTGAAGAGTTTTGCCTTTTCTTTCTTTTTCTTTTTTTTTTTGTCTTTTTCTTTTTTATCTGTACCGGGATCGAACTCATGACCGCCTGCTTGGAAGGCAGGTGCTTATGCCGCTGAGCTAAATCTCCAGCCCCAGTTTTGCCTTTTCTTTAAAAATTTTTATCAGTACACTTTTGGGCTGCATAATGATTATATTTGTGAGTAATTGGGACATGAACATGACACATCTTAATTCTTTTTACATTCCTTCCCTTACCCCTCCCTCCATCCCTTCTCCTTTAGCAGCTAAAACTTTGCCCCATTTTGTTTTATTTTTCTGAAATTCCTGGCATAGTGGATTACAACTAACTGCAAACTTGACATCACGGCCTTGCAATAGTAAGTCTTCTTCAAGAGTGACTGACTCTGACCCTGGTCAGCTGCACAGTGCGGACATTGCCTAGAATTCTAGGACTGATTTCTGATGTTCCAGGGCTTTTCCAGGCCTGGACCCTCTTCTCTAGCTTCTGTATTCAGCTCTCCTTCTCTCCTTGTTCTCCATCAACCAGGATGCAGAACCTGACTTTTTGACTGTTTTTCACTCATTGTAAGGAATACCAAGCATTTGGCGTATTTATTAATTGAGGCTAAAAGTTCAAGGGTCATACTAAAGGTGCCCCATCACCTGGCCCTGCCCACTCCCCGGCCACCTTCTTCCTCCTCTCTAGTCTCTTGGGTCGCAATAGCAACTCTAAATCTTTCTCTCCCTGCTATGCAGGCTCTTGCCTACAAAGGCAGAAGTCCAAACCTTCCAAGATGTTCTGAAGCAAAAGGTTTCACCCTCCTTCATAAACAACTAGTGTTATATGGTGTGCAACAACTTCCCTGACCTTGGTCTGTTCCAGTCAATTAACTTTTATAGGCCTCCTGTTTGCTAGGCACTGCTGGGGCTCCAGAAGTGATTTTGGCTGGTCTTGCCAAGGTCTTTGTGCTAGGTCAGAGCTCCTTAGGTGGCATCTCACTTGACGGCTGAAGAAGGACGAAGGTTTCTGGCAGGCGTCTCACTCACTCTTAATCTCCTGAAAGCCTAGCGGTGGGAGCTGGTGTTCACATTCCAGCAGAGCTTGATCTCAGAACCTAAGAGTGAAGACACACAGCGGCCACAAAATCCTTGCTGGATGTATGAAGTTTTCCTTATTTAAATGTGAGGGGTTTGCAGGAGTCAGGACTTAGAGGAGGATACACCTCATCTTCATTATATAGTGATGCAAGAAAAGACATGGAGGACATAAAGTGACTAAAAAGCGGTCTCAGAGACCAACCTCTTGCTCCCCAACTGCTGGAATCCAGGTGAACTGTTTGGGAAGACACAGAGACTGGCAGGCACATCAACCACACAGTAGGGCCCCAGCCAGGGTACACAGGATGGACAGGTGAGCCTAGCAGTGTGAAATTATCAGAAGCAACTGTAACAATACAAGCCAACAGGTGTAAGTTAGGTGAACCAGAGTTGTGCTTGGGAACAAAGACATACAGAATAGAAGTAGGTAGAGGGGCTTCCCCTTTTCTTTCTTTTTTTTTTTTTTTTTTTTTTCTCTTTTCCAAAATTCTGGGAGAACTCCAACCACAGAAAACTAATTCCATCTCCCAAAACCCAGAGACCAAGTTCAGATAATCCCTAGCTTACTCCTTTGTTCTTTCTTTTCTGCCTCTTCTCTAGTTTCCCGAAGTTTGTGTGACCATCCTTTGCCCTCCAGCCTGGTTTTTACTTTCTTTTTTATCTTTGTTTTATTCATTATCTTTCTAAAATTTCCCAACCACAGGGTAAAACCACTCTACCAAGGGGAAACACTTTGCGTACAAGCTCCCAACGTATGATCATTCTGTAATATATTTATAGATTTTGCTCCTATGATTAAAGATGCAAAATTAATAGTTACCGCAGTTTGTCAGCTTCTAAATTATGCTTAATGCCATTGTTATTGCTAATTATACTACTTTAACTAGTATGTCATATCTGATTTAATCAGTTAGTCTCACTTCTGTAACAATACTGGAAAGTCCTGGGGTAATAACCTCACCATTCCCCAGCACCAAAGGACTGGAAACTGAACCAAACAGATACCAACATCTGACTCTTAAGTAATTAGAAAGGTAGGACCTTGGGATGGACACAAACCAAGAAACTCTGACACCTAGCAAACATGCCTGAAGCACGAACCTTACCTAGAGAAGCCTTTTTACTAGTGATAAAACTACTTACTACAAAAACTTACATGGAGCAACACAGAAAACAATAAAAACTTTTGAAAATGAAAATAACAAGATGCAGAAACAAAATGCAACTTCAGACCTATGGCCTACCCAGAACAAGTCCACGAGATGAGATATAGGAAAAGGGAAGACATACACCAAACATTTCTGAAATGATACCAACAAAGGAAAGAAACAAATTCATGAGGCTATAGAGGAAAGTATATCAAAAATAATCTCTCGGGTTAAAAAAGAAAGTCAATATTCATAAAGGAATTGCTCAGGAAATCTAAAATAGAGATAAAAAAAGATGAGGACAGGAAGAGGATGGAAACCATGAATGATCAATATAGGAAAAAATTAAATGCATGAAATATATTCAGATATCTAGGAAATTTAAAATTCCATTTCAAGTTGGCAAAGCTGCTTAAAACTAAAGACAGACTTAGATTTTGAAGAAAGAATCATGGCTAGTAATCATAAAAGGAAAGATCTCTTGAAAATAACAAAGATCAGGAAATAATAATTCAATAGCTACAAGATGACACACATAATAATAGTTGGTGTCAATGAAAAAGCAGGAATTAACACGAATACCATAAAAATAAACTATTTGCAAAAGTAACAGTGGAAAATTATCCATAACCAAAATAAATCTACATCTGTGTATATATATATATATATATATATATATATATATAAATCAAGATCTCTGAAATTCAGCACAAGCACAGAATAAGTGTTACAGAAAAGAAACAGATCGCCTATAAAGAAAAGCCCATTAGAATCATGGCAGATTTCTCAACATAAACCCACAAATCAAGAAGAGCTTGGAGTGAAGCTCTTCACTTCCTGAAAGAAAGTCCTGAAAGAAAACAACTTCCAACCTAGACTGATGTACACTGAAGAGCTATATTTCAAAATTAATGGAGAAATAAGATACTTTCATGACAAAGAACAACTGAAGAAATTTATTAACTAAACCAACACTACGCAGGGTACTGAAAGATATTCTAGACAGAGATAAAATAACCACAATTCCAAGAACAACAGAAAGAAAGTAACAAACAGGGCAATTAAACAGATGTGAATTAAACAATTAAACAGAGGTGAAATATAGGAAACCAACAGCAGGAAAATAACATGACAAAGATAAACCAATAGATATCATTATAACCATCAATGTAAATGACTTCAATTCACCAAACAAAAGAAACAGACTGACAGAATGGATCAAGAAACAAAATCCAACAGTATTCTGTGTACAAGAAGTGTATTTAACTCAAAAAGAAAGTTAAAGGATGAAAAATGACAATCCATGCAACAGGAACCCAGAAAAAAGTAGGAGTAACTATTCTGTTCACAGACAATGTGAACTTCAAAGCAAGAATGATCAAAAGAGATAAGAAAGGTCACTGCATACGTGTTAGGGGAAAAATTAGAGAGGAGTAGAAAACTATCATAAATATGTATGCACCAAGTACAGGAACACCCAAGTATATAAGACAAATATTAATAGATGAGATCAAATGAGCAATAACACAATTGTAGTACAGGAACTTAATACCCCACTGTCACAGATAGATCACCCAGATGAAAGCAGTAAAAAAAATCAGAAGTGAACCAAATATGTGAGCAAATGAACTTAGTTTACACCCAGCAACATAAGAGTAAGCATTCTTCTTAGTAGCACATGGGATGTTCTCTAAAATAGACCATATACTATTCCATAGGACATGCTTAACTAAATTGAAAAGAATTGAGATTATCCCATGTATATTATCTAACCATAGTGCAATGTAATTGGAAATTAATGACCCCAGTACCCCAAAATTCCATAAAAATATGGAAATTATATAACACACTTCTGAGCAACCAATGAGTCACAGTTAAATTAAAGAACAAATTCAACAATTTATACAATTTTTTTAAAATGTGGCTACGACATTCCATTGTGAACCTGTGAGACATTAAGTAGTCCTAAGCAGGAAATGTACAGCAGTGAATTCTCACAGTAGGAAACCAGAACTAACACAAATGAGTAACCTAGTGCTTCACCTCAATTCTAGAAAAAGAAAAGCAAGTCAAGCCCAAAGCCCATAGAAGACAGAAAATTATAAACATCAGTGCAGGAATTAATGCAATTGAGATTAAGAAAACAATACAATAAATTAATGAATCGAAAAGTTGGTTCTTTGAAAGAATAAAAAAAAGATAAATTTTTAGCCAATCTTATAAAAAAAAGGAAGAAAAAACTCAAATTCACACAATGAAGAATAAAAAGAGTGAAATCCCTACAGATCTTGTGGAAGGTCAAAAGATCATCAATACCTACTTCAAAAATCTTTATTCTCATGCAGTGGAAGACACAGAAGAAATATACATATTCCTAGATAGGTATGAATTATGAAAGCTGGATCAAGGAAGTATAAAAGTTCTGAATAACTCAGTATCTGTCAGTGAAATTGAAAATGTAATTTAAAACTTACCAAAAAAGAAAAGTCCATGCCCTGATGCTTTTACTGCTGAATTCTACAAGGAACTTAGGGAAGGCTTACTGCCAATCCTCCTTAAACTCTTTAATAAAATTGAAAGGGAAGCAACTCTTTCTGGGAGGCAAATATTACCCTGATACCAAAACCAGAGGAAGACTCAACCAAAAATGAGAACCACTGGCCAGTCTCCCTAATGAACATAGATACAAAAATCTTCAATAAGATACCAGCAAACAAAATGCATCAAATCATCAAGAAGATTATACATCTTGACCAAGTGGGCTTCATCTCAGGAATGCAAGGATGGTTCAACATATTTAAATCAATAAGTATAAAACACCATATCAACAGAGCCAAAGACAAAGCACACATGATCATCTCAAAAGATGCAGAAAAAGCTTTTGACAATGTCTACCACTCATTCATGATAAAAATCCTACAGAAAATCAGACTAGATGGTCTTTATCTCAATGTAATAAAAACCATGTATCACAGATCAGCAACCAGTATCATACTAAATGGACAAAAACTGAAAGCTTTCACTCTAAAATCAGAAACAAGACAAGAAAGTTCACTATCACCAGTCCTGTTCAATATAGTGCTGGAAACACTAGGGAAGAAAATGAAATAAAAGGAATAAGAATAGAAAAGGAAGAAGTTAAATTATCATTATTCACAGATGACAGATACTCTACATAGAAGACTCCAAAAACTCCACAAAAAAATTTCTAGATTTAATTACCAAATTTGGTCACAAAGCTGGATACAAAGTAAACTCTCAAATATCAATAGCATTACTGTACACACACAACACCCTCAATGATAGAAAAATTAGAGAAACCATACCCTTCACAGTAACATCCAAAAAAATGAAATACTTAGAATCAACCCAAGAAAGGATGTAAAGGATCTATATATTGAAAATTACAGTACTCTGAAAAAGCAGATTGAAGAAGATATCAGAAAATGGAAAGATATCCCTTGCTTATGGAAAGAGCCAACATTGTGAAAATGGCCATACTTCCAAAATTGTTTTACAAACTTAATCTGTATAACAGATTGCAATCTCATCCAAAATACCATTACAATCATATCTCACAGAACTAGAGAAAACATTGCTCAAAGTTCATCTGGAACCAGAAGAGACCTAGAATAGCAAAGGCAAGGCAGGAGGAATCACAATCCCTGACTTGAAATTATATTACAAAGTTACTGTGATATAATCAGCATGGTACTATAAAAAAAAACATACCTGAGGACCCATAGAACAGATTAGAAGATGCAGATATAACTACAAACACACACAACTACCTAATCTTTGACAAAGGGGCCAAACATGTTCACTGGATCAAAGCCTTTTTAACAAATGGTGCTGGAAAAACTGGCTCTGCATACCGAAAACTAAAACTAGACCCTTGTCTATCATCATGCACTAAATAAAGTCAAACTGGATCAGTGATCTAAGTATTAAAGCAGAAACGCTAAATCTGAAAGAGAAAGTACATAGAAATTTAAAGACATAGGTGTAGGTAGAGTGTTCATGAATAAAACCAAGACTGCATGGGAAATACTTCAAAGAATCAGCAACTGAGATCTCATCTTATTTAAAAAACATTTGCACAGAAAAAGAAATCACCAACAAAGTGAAAAGATAATCCAGAATGGGGAAAAATTTAGCCAATTGTCCCTCAGACAAAGGACTTCTATCTAGGTAGAACATATAAAGAATTGAAAAAAATCTGACCTCCAAAATTCAAAGACCCAATCCAAAAATTGTCATCTGAAATGAATATAAACTTGTCAGATGAAGAAATATAAATGGCAAATAAATGTATTTTTAAATGTTCAACATCATTGGTCATTTGAGAAATACAAATTAAAACAATACCAAGATTCCATCTCACCCCAGAAAGAATGAATACTGTCAAGAAATCACCCAATAACAAATGCTAGAGGGAATGTGGGGAAAAGGAACACTTCTCCACTGTCAGTGGCAATGTAAAGTCACCATGGAAATCAGTGTGGAGATTCCTCAGAAAATTAGGATCAGAGGTCCCATTTGACACAGTTAATTTCCCTTCTGGGATTCTTCCCAGAAGAATTGACAACATCATACTGATAGATGTGCACCTATGTTTATAGCAGCATAGTTTGTAATACCTAAATCTTGGAAACAACTGAAATGCCCATCAACTGAGGAATGGATTAAACAGGTGTGATATTTTTATACAAAATGGATTACTACTCAGCCATAAAAATGATAAACTTGAGACTTTTATAGGTATTTACCATTTGGATACAAGTTGAGACCATACACATAAGTGAAATAAATTAGACTCACATGTGTAAACATCATATTGTCTTTCTTTTGTGAGCAATTGAAAAAATAAGTTCTAAAATGTGCAATAGATATTCTGAAATGGGAAGAAATTGTTCAAAAGGAAAAAGGAACTAGGATAGGGGAAGGGAAAGGACAGTAAGGAAAAGGGAAAAAGGCAGGTCAGTTATACTGTTAGTGTCTCTTAGATGATTAAGAAGGGAGGTTTGTGCTAATATAAATTGGAGAAATTTTTATGCCCATATCTGGCACCCTGAGCAACTACTTTAAAGATAACAACATGTAATGTATTAACTATTGTTAACCTCCCATTATTTTGTTATGAAATTTTGTTTTATTACCTTTTTTCTGTAAATTTTTTAAAGAAGCAACTAGGAAGCAATACTGCATCAGACTAACTCATGACCAAAACTGGCCCATCTAGACATTCACTTTAGAGAGTATTTGTTTTTCATCTTTAATTGCACTGAGCAGCGAGTTCTGCTAAGAATACAAGCTCTCAGTGCTCACACACAATTCTCACTAGCCTGGCCCTGCATGTCAGAACCTATGAAGTGGGGGTCCCTGAAGTGCACCCTGAATGGGAGTGTCCATTTGTGGAGTTACCTTGGTTCAGGCATCCAAGCTCAGCCACAGAAGGGCTTTGGTGGTCTCTCCTGAATATCACTGTAACCCTAGCGAAAATGAAGGTGCCCTAAAACAGTGTGTAGAACAGGTGTAGACTGAGGGGAAGATCGCATTGTGGACCACCTGCATTTCAAACTTTCGGTCTGACATTGTCTTTGAACACAGTCATCTTAGTTTGTTCTAAGGAGCTCATGCGAACGTGGCCATTAGACTATCTGAGTTGCCTCTATCCCTAGGTTTAGACTCAAAGGAAAGTGGAGGTGAGAGCAAGAAGACCCATTAGAAAGACTACAAATGACAGCTCTTGTCCTGCCCTACACCCCCTGCTGCATTGCCCTACAGTCACCCCCTCAAACCACAATTCCATTTATAGCAGAAAGCCTACAAAGAAGTGTCTAAATCTGCCTTTACTGCTGAACAGAATATGGATGGGGTAATTCTTAATGAATAGAAATGTGTTGACTTACAGTTTATTGAGAGATAAAGACCTTCTTGCTAAGTCATCCCATGGCAGAAGGGCAAAGAGAAAGGATACAGGAAGGTGTCACGTTGTCCCTTTTATACAGTAGAGCCACTGTTGGCACTAATCCAGTCATGAGACAGCCCTCATGGCCCAATCACCTCTTGAGGGTCTCACTCCTTAAAGCTATAGAAATGTGCTAGAAATAGTTGCATGTTTCTAACATGTGCCTTTTGTGGCCACATCCAGACACAGCAAGGAGTGTATATTCACTGTATCCGCTTTGATCTACCCTTGTCCTGATTCTGCCCCGACCAAGCTTGGTCCCCACCCACTTCACGTTTATAGCTTGTCATGGTTCCCAGAAGAATCATCAGGGAAGCTTGCGGTTCTGGTGCAGTGGTTACGTATCAGACCTGTGTGCGCCTTTGACTGGGATAGTCTCTGATGTTGCCTGCCCACTTCTTGACTTTGAGGAAACCACTGACTCAGTTTCCCTCCTACCCTGTTAGATCGTCCTTTTCAGCTTCCTGTGCTTGTCCCACCTCTTATTTCTGATCTCTCTGTTGAAGGACTGTGGGACTCAGCTGTTAAATGATTTTCTTCTTTACCTATACAAACTCCTTTACTGATCTCATCTTTTCTCAGGGATTCAAGTATGTCATTGATATGAGGCCACTTGTAAGTGTGTATTTCTGCCCAGGCCTTTCTCCTATGCTCCATATCAGAACATTTCCAACCTAATATATTCAAAATCAAACTTCTCAATCTTTCCTATAGTGCCTGGCAAACATTAGACATATGAATATTTGAAGAACACATGAATGAACTAGACAATGCTTTTACTATGCCTCCTAGTGTCCCTTGTCTCAATAAGTGGCAATACTGTTTGCCTCAAAAGTAGTACTTAATTTGTGAAAGACAAAAATATTCATTTTAACTTGTTTTCTTTCTCGTGCTACTCACTAGTCAAGTTCAGTCTGTTGTACTTTCAAAACACAACTAGAATCTGACTCACATTGGCTGCACACTGTCTCCCTAAGCTGTCTGTACCCCTGAGCTGTGTTCCCCACACAGCAGTCAAAAAGTCCCTGAAACTGTGTCATATCATAGCAGCTCTCAAATCTGCAAAAGGAAAACCAAAGTCTTCCAGGAATCTGTGAGGCTGTCCTTGGCCCGAGCGCCACCTCCCACCCGCCACATCTCTGTCCTTATCTCTGCCATACTCCTCCTTGTTCACGTGTCTGAAACCACATACTCTTTTATATTCCCCCCAAATAAGAAGAATATGGTACGCACCCCTCTAATGAAGTCCATGAGAACACTTCTCTGAATAATATTTTCAAAGACAAAAAAATAAGATTTTGTATCATAAAGAAAACCAATTATGCTCTGTATTCACTTTCCACTCGCAACAAAACACCTGAGACAAGATGATATCAGTTCCTTTGGGCCTGTGGCAAGGCAGGATATCGTGGCAGGGAGCATGGAGTGGAGCAAATCTGCTCACCATATGGTGGTCAGGAAGTATGGAGGAGGGTGAGGAAGGGTCTGGATCCCAATATCCCCTTCAGGACTTGCCCCCACGGACTTCCTCCCACTTAGCTTCACCTCCTCATGTCTCCACTACCTCCCATCTCTGCCATTAATTAGAGACAAAACCTTCAACATAGGCACTTTTGTGGGACATTTAAGATCTAAGCCATAAAACGTAACTAAAATTATAGCTATTGCAGTATTCATAAACCAAATGTGTGGTCTAATAATGCCTGTGCTTTATGACTAATACAGCCAATTCAAGATCTAGCATTGGATCAACTAGTTACCATAATTTTGTAGTGTGGCATGAAAAATATTTTGAGATAGCTGTTAAAGATTATAATGCGATATATAAGTATCTGTGATTTCTGGTGGTGACAAAAATACTGCTTCCTTGGTTTGTTGCTTACATTCATGACTGATGGCTGTGCTGGATTTTCAGCTAGAGTTGGTGAAAAGTCACTGACTCCTGAGTTCCAGATGTGGATTCATGCGAGTTTCATGGTCCATGGTTAGGAACTCCCTTGAGGGGCAAGGTAGGGGTGTTCCCTGTGTCCAGCATGCTTTCTCTTCCAATCCCCACATAACTCCTTTGGCCTGGCCAAAGGCCTTCCGCAAACCTCTTTCCAACTGAGACTCAACAGCACTCTTGCTTTGATGATTCTTACCACGGAAGAATAAGGAGCATGCCCCTGCATCTGAAATCCATTAGAGTCCTTCACTGTAAGAGGATCGATGACTTGAGAAAAACTTTGCTACTTTGGGCTAATTGGAAGAGGTAAGAATGAACTAGTAAGGTCCTTGAGTTCTAAAATTTTTATAAACCTATGAACTAATTTTAAGATATGTTGATCATTTAAGCGATAGTTATTACAGTCTTCTATGAATTTCCTTTAATAAATAACAATTTAAATTTACATATCACCTTTGTATATGTGTGATGGAGATATGTGAAACATTTGAAAGAATTTCTGAACTGATTTGCACTTTTCCCCTTGCACACTTAAGGATTTTTTTTCCTAGCTAGTTACAGACCTTTGTTAAATTGCCATAGATTGCAAAATAATTCTGTCTAAATTTATGAGGATTTTACCTTCTAGTCAGCACTTTATT